CCTTCCAGCATATATTCGCCTTTCCCCATGCTGCTGCTACGGCTGCTAAGCCACGTCAGTCGTGTCCGACTCTGTGCGACCCCACAGACAGCAGCCCACCAGGCTCCCCCATCCCTGGGGTTCTCCAGGCAAGAACACTGGAGTGGGTGCCTTTTCCCATATCTCCTACTAATTGCCATGTCTCAGTAGTATTTATTTGGTCAGTTCACTTACATTACCAGCCAGTCATAAAATAACATTACAGAGTAAATAAAGTGTTCCAAACTGGAAGACCTGCAAGGTAAATTCAACCTACAGACTGATTTGCTTTGATCCACCCAGTATTAAGGGGCTGCCCTGGTGGCTCAGTCGGTGAAGAATCTGCCTGTGATGCAAGAGACCCAGGTTTGATCCCTGGGTCAGGAAGATCCCCTGGAGAAGGGAATGGCTACCCACTCCAGTGTTCTTGCCTGGAGAATTCCATGGACAGAAGTCTGGTGGGCTATAGTCCCTGGGGTCACAAAGAGTTGGACAGGACTGAGCGACTAATGCTTTCACTTTCACCCAGTATTAAAGAGACCTAGAAACACTACAATTTTAGAAATCTGAAGTTTTAGATTTCTGGGTTTCTCCTGATAAATAAACACTGACCTGAATCAACACTGACCTGAATTTCCTGTGAATAGAATCTGCTGGAGCAAAGTATTACAATGCCTCCTTTAGGCAAACCCACCATTTTCTATTGCTTACACCCAGCCAGTTGCACTCAATAAACACACCCAGCCAGATGCTTGTTTTACTATTGTTTTACTTGTCTGGCCCCTGTAGGCTTGTGAACATGTGACCCCTCAATTAGACTGATGTGGGCGGTAGTGGTGGCAGTGTGCATACGTGGTTATGAAACAAGCATTCAACCAAGATGGTTTAGCAAACAGTCTCAACTCATGTGAGTTAAGAGATTATGATTTGTGTTAATTCATTCCTTTAACATTAATTTACGCACTACCAAATAGTAAAATAATCTTTTAGGGATAAACAAAATAGATTCCTAATTATAAATATCATGAAAAGAGAACTTCCTGTATCCACAAAGCTGTATACTAATCCCATGAGACCTTTATCCCTACTTTGCTCTCTTTCCTCTTGAGTTTTTTTCCTCCCCAAATGTATCACAGAAAAATCATAATCTATTTTTTTTAAAGAAGATTTATTTTGGATTAAGTGATTTCATGATGCAACATGGTTTTAAACAAAAATAGAGATCAGTATGAAAATAAAACAAATTGTACACATAAAATATCTTTCCCTCAAAGCATTTCAGAATCATAAAAAAATACAACACAAGAGTCAGGGGTTCAGGTAAGGATAAGAATACAGACTTTCCAGAAAACAAACAAGTCTACATTTCAGAGTCCCAGGCTCCATTTAAGACCACCCATGATTCATTTCTAGGATGTCAACAGTCTGCATTATTTGCTTGGAGAAAAAAAGATGAAATTTAAATATAAGGTAAAATGAGAACTGTATAATCTCAATGTCAATAGCAAATACTTCCCATTATTGTTCTCTATTAAAAGTATCATTGAATAAATATGAGGCTTAAATCAACTCAACAAAAATAGAAACATAGCTTTAATTGTGACATGGTGTAATAGACACAATGGGTGGAATTTGTGAAAAGAAATTTGAAGGCTTAAAAAATACACCACCTGTGCTCCACTGAAATCTTAGACATAATGTGGCTTTTTTTTTTTTTTACAGAGCCTAAATATTAAAAAGTAATCATTACTATAAAATTAGATTAATACTTTCAGTAAGAGGCTGGAGAGATGCATGTATCTTTATTTATTTACTTTGGAATGCCTGCATCCCTATTATAAAACCATGATATTATGCACTTTCCAACATATTAACAGCCTCAAATTTTACTTATGATACCATATAAAGAAAAATAGGTTGTAATACCATCTTTTAGAGTGTTAGGGTCCTAAAAGAACATTCAGTTTTGTATGTTTCCTGGTTAGTCCTTCCAAGGTATTTCTTGAACATTATCCATCCTTTCTTATAGAAGGTGATAGTAACCAGAAGTTTACTGATTCCTTACCTGCATCAGTAATATTTGATTCAGTTTGAATCATACACCATACCTATCAACACTGCTCAGGGTTGTAATATCTTAAAAGAAAACTGGATAGAAAGATATTACCTGCCCAAGGCCACTCCACATAAAAATTTCATGTATAAGTTTAATTTTCCTGTGTTTCCCAGAAGCCATACAACTAGGGCCTTCCAATTCTGCTGAACTGTTTGATCATGAAAGCCAAATAATCTACCTTACAGATTAAATCTAAGCAAATGTATTTCAGTCTTGATTAATTTCTTGAAAAACTGGAAATACAGATTAGGTCTCCATTTGCAATTCAGTAACCCAGTTGTTAGGGTTTTTGCTTATACATGACCAGGGAACATTTAAGTTACCATTAGAAACCATGAAAAATGTTTTGGAAGTGACTGTCATGTCAAAGAATGTCTTCTAAAAAGCAAATTAAGCAAAAGAAATGTGTCAAGCAACGTGTGCTCTCTTTTTCCCTAAAGTTCAATTATAATAACAACAATTGTTAAAAGTAATCCACAACACAATTTAATGCTAAATCATTGGATCTCCTAATTAAGCTATGGTTAGCTTTAATACTTTTGGACTAAATTCTGTTTTGCAATACAGAAAAATCTTATCACCCTACTGAAGATAAGGGGACCCACCAGGTGGATTACCAAGCAGTGCTCTCATTGGGCAGCACATAATTCTTTTCCTCAAAGTCAGAAAACAAAGTATATGTTTCTACCCACAGCCGCAAGCCATAAGGTGATCCTTTCACCCTTGTTTTAACTTTCCCCCTGCAACAGTATACCTGTTGATATAGGTAGGGCACACACATTCAGTATATCCTTTGTGCCAGCTCCTTGGAATGCAGTTACCACTCCTGAATCTTGAAAGTTGGTCCATAATTAGCATTACATCTTGGCAGGGATGGGGGAGAAAGCGGGGGCGTGGGGGATAACACTACTGGTTCCATCTTTTCTGATTTTTTTTGTTCCTATCATCCTTCTAGTGGGCAGCAAGTGGTTGGCCTTAAGCCACAGTTTAGAAAGCTTGATGTCTCTGACATCCCCTTGCTTCCATGTGAGGCAAGCAAATCTAGCTAGAAAACACAATTGAATTAGAAAGGCAATATAGGCTTCGCAAATTAGAACCTAAGTGCAAGTGACATTCTCATTAATTTAAACTCAATTTTATAGAAGTAAGGTGTCTAAGATTTAGAATATTTACACTCATCAATTAAATCAGAAAGCAGGTAAGAACACAAAAGGGCCTGAAAGTCAGATTCAGTTTGAGGGTGAGGCCATGGTCTTTATTTGTATTTGTACTATGCAGTGTGGTAAGTATTTTGTAATGATGGTGTAGCATCATTTCATCTTCAATGGGAGTTTCCTGAACTGGGGTGAATTGAAAAGACTCTTCATTATCAGATGTTTGCCTTAGTTAGAAGTGATAAAGTCATAATTTGTGCAGAAAGAAAAAAGGTTGGATCAATGTGGACAAAGAGGAAAAGAACCTGTAGTGGTCCCTTCAACCCGTATCACAGGAACTCAGCTATCAAGGTTTTCTAGATCCATCCTTGTTTAAAATGGAAAACTAAAATCAGGTTTCTGATTAAAGTGCGGTTTCATTATCTTGCTTCCAAATAATATCTGGGAAAACTAAACTTACTATAATATAGAAATCCACCACAAGCAATCAAATTTTGCATTTTGTTTTTAATTTCTCATAATAACGTAGTAAAACGGAAACATTAAGAATATTGGGAGTTTTTCCTATGAATATGCTAACTTCTTCAAGGACTTTTCAGAAGGTGTCATGTTTTTAAGAGTGTTTCTAAAAATGAGAGTTTGGGTAGACAAGCAGCTTGCAAATTTCAGTGAAACTGGAATAGGCTGGTATACATATTAGTGTCCACATTGCTCAAGATGAAACCTGGAACTGTAGCTGTGAAGTGCGGAAAGTGATCTCACAAGCCACCTCTGGAAATCAGCCCCAGTGCAGACAGGACTTGATACCTTCTACTCCACGGAGTATGTGAGGATCGAGACAAACCAAGCGCCCGAAAGCACTGAGAAACTCTAAAGCACTGTTTAAACATATTCTACCATTACTGTTAATCATTTGAATGCAGTTTTTTAAACTTGATTGTTATACAAGAAAAACAAATTTTCCTTCATTTATTACAGAACTTTTACTTAATTATAAATATAACAGATGCTAGAAAATTGCAACCACACTTCTTTGGCCAAGATCCATTCATTTTTTTTCTTTGCACAAGAAAAACATTTTGACCCCAGAGGTGGATGGGCTCAGGAATTGGGATTTTTAACACTGCAAAACAAAGGTATTAGGTTGGTGCAAATGTAACTTTGGTTTTGCATTTCTGAACTCTGCCATTTGATGCTGGAATACACTCTTAAATGTGGTTATGTTACACATCATTTTAACGTGCATTTCTTGCTTTATGTTTTTTGCTAGTGAATTATTACTTGCTGTTTATTTTATATGTATTTTAGGCTATGTAAATTATGTTAGACAAAAGGTAAATTCGAGCAATTTTCTTATTTGAGTTTAAAATGCGTGGTAAAGCAGTGGAGACAACTTGCAACATCAACAATGCATTTGGCCCAGGAACTGTTAATGAACATATAGTACAGTGGTCGTTCAAGGAGTTCTGCAAAGGAGACAAGAGCCTTGAAGATAAGGAATGCAGTGGCAGGCCATTGGAAGCTGACAACGACCAATGGAGAGGATCATCGAAGCTGATCCTCTTACAACTGCATGAGAAGTTGCCCAAGTCAACCATTCTATGATCGTCTGGCATTTGAAGCAAACTGGAAAGATGAAAAAGCTCAGTAAGTGGGTGCCTCAAACTGACCACCAATCAAAAAAACCCATCATTTTCAAGTGTTGTCTTCTCTTATTCTATGCAACAATGAACCATTTTTTGACCAGACTGTGACATGCTACACAAGGTGGATTTTACACAACAACCAGCGATGACCAGCTCAGTGGGTGGACCAGGAATGAGCTCCAAAGCACTTACTGAAGCCAAACTCGCACCAAATAAAGGGCCATGCTCACTGTTTGGTGATCTCATGCTGGTCTGATTCACTACAGCTTCCTGAATCCCAGCAAAACCATTACATTTGAGAAGTATGCTCAGCAAATCGATTAGAAGCACCACAAACTGCAATGCCTGCAGCCAGCATTGGTCAACAGAAAAGGCCCAATTCTTCTCCACAACACCCAACAGCAGGTCATACAACCAACGCTTCAAAAGTTGAACGAATTGGGCTACGAGGTTTTGCCTCATCTGCTGCATTCATCTGCCATCTCATCAACTGACCCCCACTTCCTCAAGCATATCAACAATTTTTTTGCGGGAAAATGCTTTCCAAGAGTTTGTCAGATCTTGAAGCAAGGATGCTTATGCTACAGGAATAAACTTATTTTTCATTGGCAAAAATGTGTTGACTGTGATGGTTCCTATTTTGATTAATAAAGATGTGTCTGAGCCTAGTTATAATGGGTCCGAAACCATAATTACTTTTGCACCAACCTAATAACACCATAGTGCATATGAAAAGAAACAGGGAAACTATTGAGCTTAACTGTGTCATTTTTTGGATAACTCGAAGATCCTTGGGTTGGTCCATCATGGTTCAGTTCTCCACCTTTTCACACTTTAAACCCCATGTGTAAATGCACTCTGGGCTTCCATGTGCATGCATGTGTCCATGCTAGCTGTATCTCTTCTGTGACCCCATGGACCAGAGCCTGCCAGGCTCCTCTGTCCATGGGATATCCCAGGAAGGAATACTGGAGTGGGTTACATTTCCTTCTCCACTGGGCTTCCACACTTGACCAGTATCATCATACTATTATATGCCATTAGGTATCAACAGAAAGAGCATTTATATGATTTTTTTTTAGCCACAATATCTCCCACATATGAAGTCGTCATTGGAACTCCCAGATGGAGCAAGCTGTTCTCTTGATTGTAGAACATATCAAATTTTATTTAAAATATTTTCTGAACCTTGGTATGTATTCCACTAGACTGTAAACTTCTTGAGGACAGATTTTGAATCTTGTAGCTCAACCATCAATCATAGAAGCTGGCACAGAGTGAATGCCAATGCCTCTTCTCTCACCTAAGAGATGTTCCGCATGTATTTGATGTATCATGACTGTCTTTTATAAAATGGTATACTATATGCATCATTTACAAGAATTTTAAAGAAAACAAAACCAGACAGCCAAATTATCTAGGTTCATAGTCTAGAAGAAAATATTTATGGATATTTCTATTTGTAGAATATATTAACGTTGAATTTATTCTGTGGAAATGTTAATTTAATGTTTTAAATAGTTATTATCAGATTCTTTTGTTTATACTAATGAAAAATAAGAGGTCAATTATCATGGTATTCTGATGTGATAGGTACAGCTTGGATAATTTCCAATTCTGAGAATGGTAGCAATTAATGATTATACTGGTATTTGGAAAGAAATAATTAAAGAAATATATTTTATTTCAAATCTCTTACCTAATAATGCAGAATATGACAACAAAGTGTCACAAACCAAAATGCAAGCCAACATGGTCTTTGAAAATACTTTTGAAAGAAATGCTGTATTTTCGAAACTTTCTATCAGCTGCTTAGGGAATGCCAGCTCTGAAACATCTTATATACCATAAAAATGTGTTTTTTTAAAGTATACTATTTTCCCTTATAATGAAAAAAATACAAACAAGTAAAAATAGTTTGTAAAATTAAATATATACTTATATTCATGATAAGTAAGTACAAACTAACATTTCCAGTTAAGATTTTTTTTCTTCCCTTTCTTTCTGACACAATTACAGTACACAGATAAATCCATCCTTCTTACTTCCAGACTGTTGTAACCTTTTTCCCCAGAATGTTTCTCCACACTGCAGTACCTGCCTTTAGTGTAGGAATACAACGAGTGGTAGTCCTCTTGAGGGCCCCCATAGTAAATGTAGTTTAACCAACAGAGTAATCAGTTCTTACCATCATCAACCACCTATGAAAACCATGCATTTGACCTCTATAAAATGTAAGATAGCTATCACCCTATAACAGGAATTCCATGGCTACTATAAATGTTGTTCTCGGCAATGCCTGTAATACCATAGGCTGGCAAACCAAATGTTTAATCCAATGCTTTTATTACCCTCAATTTAACTTCATTATATCGAACACCTGGTTAGTTGTGGCCATAAGTCAAGAAAGAAACCATGATGGTGAGTAACCCCAAAGTAATAAAAATGAAGAACACCCTCTGATAAACTAAGCAGAGACAACGCCAGTGATGTCATGCAGTTTCTGAGATATTATAGAAAAATTGTTTCTTAATATTGATAAGAAAATTATGCATCAGTGAAAATGCAGACTTAGAAATAGAGTACTGAGACTTTCAATTTGTGATGTCTTCACTGATGAGGGAAAATGGAATTCTTATTACTAAAGAGAGCTGATCTCTTGGGTGTTGCTGACGGCTCCCTAACTGAGCTTAGTGCTTAATGACGCTGTACAAATAAAAAGCAGTGGGGGAAATACGAAATATCTGTATTAAATGCCATCCTGTAAAGTATTTGATGGATGGAAGAGTCTAATGCATTTTAAATAAATGCATATCATACTATCACATAGAGTGAGTCTTAAAAAATTATTACTTAGATGCACAGTCCTTGTAGTGGTAGACATGGCACTGTGAAGAAAGTTTGATTTAGAAGCTATTTTCTATTATACTTATCAAGTGATGGAGTTGTTGTTAGTCATATTATAATGTCCCTTCAACTTTGGTACATTCAGTGCAAAATATTTTGGGGAATTTTTTGTACCTTTATAAAAATAAAAGGCCCTTTTGTTCCCTTGAGAGTGCTTAAAAGGATACATACACGCATGATGCCCGAATAAGCATGGAACATGAAAATGGAACAGATGATACATATAGTATGATAGGTAGATTCTTATCTACATCTTAGAGAACATAAATATAATGAAACTATAAAAAATAAACAGAACTCACTGTGTACTTTTTTCCTGATACGCTGTGATTAATTGCTAGTTATTTTAAAATTGTTTTCATGCATTATAAAGCATAAAATCTGTCATTAGTAATTCATTGTATAACAGTTTGTCTTCAGCCATAATTACACACATATCACTTTGCATATACATTGTCACAGACCACCTTATTGCAAATCTTAAAGGTTACCTCATATTGACTTGGTTTCATTTTCCACTTGTGTCCCATGAAAGCTGAAACCTATGGTACACACCATGCAGGTACTCATAAGCAAGAAAATGAATATTCTGTTATAACTTAGGGCTTAAATGAATGTATTTTCAGGAAATATATTTGTTTTCATTATACTATTTAACTTGCACTAATTTGGAGATTGGGCCAAGTGCTGTAAGTTTGGCTTGAACCATGTTCAAAGGTTAAGTTTCATGATTCTCCTGAGTCTCTAAAAGTTACCATGGAGCTGATCGTGTACAGGTTCATCTTTGTCTTGGAATATAACAAATGGAAAAAAGTTTGGCAGTCAAGAACTGTTGATTGAAAGACTGTTGGGTGGTTCCCTGGGCATCACGCTCACCCAAATCCTTCCAAGAGGATCATCATCACTCTCCAGTACCCAAGTGAGACAGAGCATCCATTCCTGGAAAATAACAGCATTCAGCTTTACTTTAATGGAAGCGACTCTTGAAACTTCCAATGCTCAGCCATTCTTCAGCTTCTGGGCATTGCGCCTCCAGGTCACTCAAGTCCAAAGGTACTGGTCTCTTCAACCGCTGTCAAGAGTTTCTCATAGAGCATGGAGAAGGATGGGTACGGAGGAAGATCCAGACGGTTAAAGCAAGTGTGAGCTCTGCAAACAGAAGAAGCAGTAGAGAGTTGAGAACGCTGTGAGTGACCAGAGCCTTCCTTCTGATGTCTGTGCGTGCTTGTCTTTCACATTCAAATTGCTTTGTTGCCAATTTTCACACTCCTTTTGGAAACACTTTGAAAATGTTTTGACTTGAACAATTCAGAATTGAATTCTTTTAAGGGAAATAATATCTTTAAAAAATTTTTCTTTACATTTTCACGATCATTTAAAATCCACATTACATATATATTGCTATTTGTTTAGTTGTCTAAGAATTACAAAGACAAGTTTGTATTTTTGTCTCTTTTTTGATGTTCGGTTTTTTGTTTTTTGTTTTTTTTTCCCTAAAAGACATGAAGATAAGCTCTTGCAAAGTAATTTGTTTTCAGAGTTGGCATTTGCCTGAATGTTTCTTAAAGAGTCAATGATTTTGCATTTTTTCATTTTGTTGGTCAGGGAAGAGCACTGAGTGTCTCTGAAGACCTCATGGCTTAGAGTTTCGGGAAATTCCCTGGCTGGACTCTCCTGTCGTAGTCAGTAGACCATTGTTACTTCTTTGACTCCTGAGCTATAATCTGATTTCTGCTAATTCATGATGCAAAATAAAGGCCATTTAAATCATTATGTTACATTCTTTTTTAGAAATACCTCCCCTTTTGCCAAGATAGGAAAAAATATGCTTTCCTGTTATTTGCACCTGAATCACAATAAAAAAATAGACAACCTCCAAATAGCACATCTTATCGGGAAGCAAATCTGCACTTTTGACATGAAATAGGAAGCTTTTTATTTGGAATGTACAACAGTTTGTTTGCAGGAGCTAAACAACTTTGCTTTTAAAAACTGCTCCTGAATTAATACGGAATTTTAGGAGCTGTGATCATTAACAGGCTGTTTTTACAAAATCACATGGTTTTAACCTTCTATTCTTATAAATCACTTTAATATTTATGAGATAAATAGTTATACTCCTAGTGTTGTGGGAAGATCAGAGGTTTGCAGTTGGAGAAACCTGAGTTTGAATTTCAGTGTTACTGACCAGCTGTGCAATTTGCAGTGAATTATTAAAAACCTGCCACTCGATTTCTCATCTATAAAATGAGAATCATATTTGTTTCAGAAGGATGTGAGGATTAAATGAAGTCATAGAACCACTATTATTTGTCTCAGAGGATATGAGAATTAAATGAAATCACAGAAACACACTTGCCTGGCTCACAGTGTTTGACCAATTAATAAGAGGCGCATTTTTAGCTACATTTCATTACCATCAAAAAGATTTACTCTAATTGCCTTCATTAAATTTCCAAAGGATAATCATGACTCATGGAAACTGAGATAACAAAGAGATAATAAATAAAGCAGGTGTGTGGCCACATAGCTTATTAAAAACATTAACACGAAGGGCTCTGTCATATTAGGAAAATACAGATCTTCCTCAGCTTACAATGAGGTTGCATACTGATAAACCCCTTGTAAACAGAAAATATCATAAGTCAGAAAAGCATGTGATACACCTAACTAACTGAACATCATAGCTTAGCCTACACTACCTTGTGCATGCTCAGAACACTTACACTGGCCTACAGTTGGGCAACATCATCTAACACAAAGCCTCTTTTATAATAAAGAGTTGAATATCTCACGTAATTTATTGAGTTACGGAATGGTTGTATGTGTAACGTTTTTTTACCCCAGTGATCACATGGCTGACAAGCAGCTGAGTGAGGCTCACTGATGCTATCCAGCATCATGAAAAAGTATAGCACTGAACAGTGTTAGCCTAGGAAAAGATCATGACTCAAAACTAAAAATGTGATTTCTACTGAAAGTGTATCACTTTTGTCTGTGCACACTCAGTCATGTCCAACTATTTGTGACCCTATCGACTGTAGCTCGCCAGGAAGTCTTCCTGACCCAGGGATTGAACCCACGTCTCCTGCATTGGCAGGCAGGTTCTTTGCCACTGAGCCACCAGGAAAGTCTCATATCATTTTCAAGCCACTGTAAAGTCAAAAAATTCTAAGTCAAACCCTCCTGAGTCTGGGACTGTCTGTACCAATTTTGGGACACAGAAATAGAACTGGCTCAGAGTTTACAAGTTCTTGTTATTACAAACTCTAGAATATATTGGGGGGAAAATCAGTTAATCAATCTTTGCAATCAAATACTTTTTCATAAACTATTTCAAAATTGCATTTGACATAGTTCATATTATACCTCCTTACATCAGAGCCTTAACTTGGGTCTCAAGAAGAACATTTTACTTTTTTAAAGAAACTGAACTAGCATACTGAAAGTCTTAGAAATGGTTTAAATATCTATCTTGTGTAAAACACTGGTATAAAAATACTAACTGAAAACTTTAAATCTGTTATAGGGAAAGGGGAGGAAGAAGCAGAGAAATGAAATATATTTTGAATATAATTATCATCCAGGCTTTGTGAGACCCATACCATTCATTATCCCATTAGACTAAAGACGGTACTTCTTTTAGATGAAATTTAAACATTTTCACTTCACTGGCTACCAACAAGGCTGAGACTCTTCCCCCAAGTCAGCTTATTTGTAACATTTCCCGTTTTGTGATCTACATGTTCATCTACTTTGCCCATTTATTTTTTCTTCAAAAATTTTTATTTTAATAAATACACATCACAAAGGATGTTTCCTATTAACCATTATCAAGTACACAGTTCTGTAGCATTAAGTACATTCACATTGTTCTACAACCATTACCATTATCTATCTCTAGGAATTTTTTCTCTTTCCAAACTGAAAATCTATACCTATTGAACACTAACTCCTATTTTCTCCCACCCCTGCAACCACCACTCTATTTTCTGTCTCTATGAATTTGACCATTCTAAGTACCTCATATAAGTGGAATCATACAATATTCATCCCTTGTGATTGCTTTATTTCACTTAGCATTTTCCAGGTCCATGTTGTAGCATGGGTTGCAAATTCCCTTTTTTTCCTTGCTGAATAATATTCCACTGTTTGTATATACTATGTTTTGTTAATCCATTCATCCATTGGTTGACACTTGGGTTGTTTTTACATTTTGACTATTGTAAAAAAGTATTGTTATGAACATGGGTTCCAATTTTTCTATATCCTCTCCAACACTTGTTATTTTTTTTTATAACAGTCATTCTTATAAGTGTGAATAAATTTATCATCTAAAGTTTTAGGATTTCTTATTGACTTGTAAGAAATACTTCAAAATAAAGAGATTTACTCCTGTATTCTCTCTCACGAATCTCTTCTAGCCTGTTCACCTTTTTATTGGGTTTGCCAATAGGTTTTGTCAAGTTTTTCTGTAACATCATATGGAAAAATTAGAATGAACTTTTTGGCCAACCCAATATTTAGTTATGCATTTTATTTATACGGCAGTATTAACCAGATTCCCTGCTACCCATTTTTAATACACTGTCTTTCTTCAGCGTGCTGCTGTGATAAGAAATGTTGAAAAGATAATCTCCAGTGTTCACACCTCACAGAAGTTGTTCACGGTCTTTTTTGCTTTGGGTAGTCCTAGTGTACCAAAGAGTATGATAGATGAACTTTTGGGATAACTCCTAAAAGAGTAACTCATTTTATATAGGTGTAATCTGGAATAGATATGTGTGAATTCATTTTTGTGAACTGAGTCATATTGGGGAAACTAGGAAATAAAATAATTCAAGTAAACCCTTTCTCTAGTTAAGCAATAATCCCTGAAGTGAAAGTATTAGTCGCTCAGTCATGTCCAACTCTGTGATCCCATGGACAGTAGTCCATGGAATTCTCCAGGCCAGAATACAGGAGCAGGTAGCCATTCCCTTTTCCAGGTGATCTTCCTGACCGAGGAATTGAACCTGGGTCTCCTGCATTGCAGGCAGGCTGTTTATAGCCTGAGCCATTAGGGGAAGCCCAATAATTACTGATTAAAGTTTCTTAGGACAGGACAGGACTGTAGATGTAATATGTCTATCACATGCTTGTTAAGCCTGTTTCTTCCCTCTTGATAACCAAATAATTTCTCTTAACTGAAGGTTAATTTTACCTCATCAGGAATTAACAAAATAATCACATACATGAGGATGACAATTCATAAACAGTAATGTTTGAATCCTACAATTCATTTCTTATGCATCCTTGGATTGAATGATGAATTTTAATTCACTGTGGTCTTGTGGTATGATGAATTCTAAGATGATCTTCCATGACCCATGCCTTTGTATAATCCCCATCTTTTAAGTATGACAGGGGACCTGTAATTTGTAACCAATGGAATATGGCAAGGGTGAAGATATATTGAAGATGTAATTAAGTCTCTCATCCATTGATTTTAAGTTAATTAAAAGGGTGATGATCCTGAACTTGGGCCTGACCTAATTAGGTGAGACCTTTAAAACAGCATCTAGAACTCAGAGAGTCTCGCTGTTGCTAGATTTGAAGAGGTAGACTGCCATGAATTCTGTAGATGCAAGGAATAAATTCTACCAACAACCTAAGGGAGTTTGGAAGCAGGTCCTTCCCTAGTTGAGCTTTCAGATGAGAATGCAATCCAGCCAATATTTTAATTTCAGCTCTTGGATACTGAGAAGACCTGGCTCAATGATGCTCAGACTCCTGATTACAGAAACAGTGACATAGTAACCATGTTGTTTTAAGCTGCTAAATTGGTATTAATTGGTTATGCAGCTTTGGAAAACTGCTATAGGTCTCAATGTAGTAACGTAGCCTAAGAAGAGGTAGTTAAGTGTAATAAGTGTAATATAGTAGCATCACCCCTATCAAGGGCAGTGGTGCAAAGCTGGGAGTCAACAGCAGTCCTTTCATCCTCCCAGGCTTCTGAGCAAAAAAACAGGAACTCCGAATGTCTCTGCTGTTCAGTAATTTATCCAGTAAATCCATCAGCCTGGACACTCATATTTTTGATTCGGTTCTCAACACAAAAGGAAGGATTGGACAACTTTTTTGATCCTCTTCAGTCACAAGACATAATC